AGATTATTAAATGTTGTGCATATGCCACCAACGTTAATAAATCATTTACTTTCTCAGGGTGACCTTATAATTATGAAACGGTGCAAAAGCCGACACTATCTTTAAAAAATTCGTAAAAAATTTGAGGTGAAGGATGTTGCGACCAAAATTTGAGTACGGAGGTACATTGTGACGAGGAATCTACCAGTGTTTGCCGAAAAATTCCATTCCGGCTGCTTTCTCCAGAATCGCAAAAATCTGGGGTGACCTTATAATTATGAAACGCACTGTACAATGACTTGCGGTGGCCAGCCGATGTACAAATCAGTGCTTTTATCGTCCCAGACGAGCGTGGTACCAATTCACCGACCCCGAAGGGATGGAGGGCTTGGTTGGCTTGGGCGGGCATCGATCCAGGATTCGAGCCTCTGACCGTACGTATGATATAATGCGCCACTTGCCACTACACCACCTCCGCCCTTATTTTCTTATAGCCCGTCACTGTAGAGAATGACTTCAAATGAATCATCCTCTACATGCATATACGAAACGCTGGATCGGAATCGTAGCCCACTACCGATGATGTCAACTGTAGTCCTAGCGGATTGATGAGTCGGTGAAAGGGGAAGCGACCATGTAGGGGTAAATACGCGCCTAATGTCAGTCGCGAACTTCGAGTTACGATTCCACGCTTTCAGAATTGCTAGATGAACACGTCCTTCCCATTATAACGTATTCAGCCCATGTGGCATGTGGGAGGTCAAACCCCTGATTGGTCAGGGAATGATCGACCGCCAAAGAGGCACAGTTTTGGCGGGAAGTATTACGAAAAAGAGGGCGAGAAGCGTTTCAAATGTCTTCTTGTCTGCGGAACCCAGAAGGAGCCCAAGCCCAAACTGCGCCTCTTCCCACCCAGCTTCAACTGCCCGATCCGATTCGCTAACCAGCCCCGAGGACTCCATCGCCTGGACTGGACCCCGAGCATCATAGTGATCTTTTTCTTTATCTTTAGTGGTCTTTTTTTTATTCTTTGCTGTTTATTGTTATTTCATTTGATTGTTTGTCGTTTTGAATTTGTCGTTGTCCGCGTATCGGATAAATTTATTGGGTTTCGCGTGTCACAGCCGTTGTAACAGTTCCACTTCGAGAAACTGGGGTTCGGTACTACACCCAACTATTCGGTGTTCGCACCTTCGCATTTGATCAGTGCTTCTCGAGAATCATCGCGAAATGTTCCTATTAGCTCCCAACCCTGTCGCAATATCTTTCCTCAAGAATCGCTCCAATCGCATCTCTTTTTTTCTCAAAAGTGAAATTATGTGTGAACATCCATTATTCATTGAACTTCTCTTTATATGACTCATGCTTTATTAATTTACATCTAGAAAATTGTCAGATCATCTCGAAAATTTTCAGCAACTGCTCGTTCGATTGCTGTAGACGCTCAACAAATTCCGTTGGCTGAAAAACTTATGTTTATCAATCTTTTCACTAAACATTCTTATCGTCCGCTTCGTAGTGTCAGTTATCAGTTCTGAAGCGCATGCCACAACCTACTATTTTACAGTAATACGATCTTTAGAGTAGCCGGCAATCAAGTTAAAAAAAACAGCATCGTTGCAGTATATTGAGTTTCTGTTCCTAATAATCACAACGTACAACGTTTGTTTTGCTCTGTGTAATGCAACGATTGACTTCGGGTCGCTTTTAATTTTGAGAGAAATAATGGAGGTCAGAAAAAAGTTTTTCCAGAAAGTTTATTTTCGCAAAAGGAGGGTAAGCCTGAGAAGTAAGATTAGCGTCGTCACATTCATGGAGAGGACACTCGCCCGATCAAAGTATTTTGGAGAAACCACAGCTCCACTGTCTTCTGTTCTAATGCATGCTTCTCTTGTTAATTTAATTGGTTCTAGAGTTGTTACCAGGTATTAGCTTCCGATGTGGCGTAATATATTCGAAAGATGATCTTGAAACAGATGATTTCGCGAGGTTCTGAAGATCGCTGATGTTCACAAGGAGCTGCTCAGAAAAAGAAGAGTTACATTCGAGGAAAAAAGGCAAAGGTTCGGAAGCTTCTCAGGAAAATGGTCAAGAAGGGTTAGCTAGTTGGCTCGCTGAGTAACTACTAAATTAGCCAGTTCGAGTTCTTAAGGCCTTTTTGAGGCTTTGTTTAAGAGAGGATGATCTCAAATCGACGTCATACCTGGATCAACCAGAAAGGCAATTCTTTTTGGAGTCAACATAGTAGCTTGCAGATCAGGGCAGGATTTTTGAATACGACTTTCTTTATAGGGGTAATAGATTAAATACCCACTTATGAGCCTTTTGAAAATGCGCCATGTTGTTTGACGTCCCGCTCTTGCAAGCAGAACCTAGAACTCTGAACTCAACCGATCGACACGGAAAATTAAGGTTTGTACGAAAGTGCTGTTCTGTTAGTGGTCGCTCTTGTGGTTCGGTCGCTCTAATTCCATAAAAAATTTTCCGTGTCGATCGGTTCCCTAGTAACAGCGTCACTTGTCCCCAAAAATATTATAGTCTTCTGAAAACGAACACAGGGAAGGACATTACATACGATGGAAGCGAAACCTTTTTGACTAAGCGGTATCATGTTGAGAATGCGATTTGTTTCTCAGCCGTCATGGAGATACAAAAGAGGAAGGAGCAGATGAACATAAAAATGCGAATTTCCGATTATGATAGCGTTTGACGAGTCTGGTGTATATAACGAGAACAATTGCGGAACGTGTTGAAGGCAGCCTGTATTGATGGCCATTTTGTAGGGGAATTGAATATATATCCCTGTTGATGGCTGCGAAGTGAGCTACTGGTATGATTCCAGTTCAAGTGAGAGATTAGCCTTAGGGTATTATACTATACCTGGTTTGCCACTTGGTAGTTTGAGAGAATAGGTGTTTGTTTTTAGCTGACTTGTTGCCTGTTACTTACTTAAATGTCACGTACCAATCGCAATTTTACATCATCTTTGCCTTACGAGTGCAACTGAAGCGTGCACTTACCGCAAGAACAGCCTTCAGCATCTGCGGTGACAGTTCTACCAGCAGGTGCGGATTGAAGGTTGAAAAATGGCACGTTCAGATGAAAGAGACCGGGAAGGTCTTGCACGGGACATGCGCTAACTCGTCGATCTTTTCGTTTTGAAGAATTAGTTCTTTTTAACTTCGTAAGATTGTTTTTGTAGAGGAAATTTAAGGCTTCTTCGCAACTCGTGCTTTTTAATCGTCAAATAACATTTGCAACACAAATATCCCATCCGTACTCGTTTCCGTTGGAAGCCATTGCGTCCCTTACTAGTGGATGTTCGGAGAGAGTGGTCGCCGGTCCGGTCGCCGGTCGCTAGCGACTGGTCGCTCGACTGATCGCGCGGGACCGTCCACGGCGGCACCCATAACTAGCGCGGCCTCCTCGACCGATCGAGCGACCAGTGGCGCGATCAGTCAAGCGACCAGTCGCTAGCGACCGGCGACCAGTCGCGCTACCGGTCGTGGACTATGAAAGATGCCGAAGCTTATTTCTTCTTGGTGAATGTAATGACTTTCAGAAAAAAAGGAAAAACGATTACTCACCCTGATAACTGAGTCCAGGAGTGAAAGCATAGCCACGATTTAATCCATAACCATAAACTGTCACGCTGAAATCGTGCTACTGGAAAGTCGCTTATCTTTGTTACTCAAGAAAAACTAACCCAAAAGTGATTGGTGCCCATGGCGTATCGGCTCCTACAAAGGAAACCGTATGTTTCCCTCCTTTCACGGCCACATCAACGAAGTAGGAGTTGCTTCGGCCCATTCTTAAAAATTTTGTCATTTCGAGATTTTAGTAAGTAATGCCTTAGTAGGTTCGGGTCAATTTCAAGATTTGGAAAAGCTTCATCGGAACTATGTTAAGTCCTGCATGGTCAGCTTCACCCAGACATACGTAGCAATCACCTTGTGAAGAGTAATCCATTAGGGACGTAGTTGTCGATTTTCACAGTTCCAATGCACTCCAGCGAGGAGCAGATGACTCTGATGAAATGTTGTAGGTTCAGCTGTTCATCCAATGTTGGCGCGACTCTGTTGATGTATTACTGTCATTACGAGTTACCATCATTAATTACAAATAAATTACAATTGTACTGGAGCAGTTTCCATGAACGTAGATTTATTTCTCGTAATCTAACCTTGCTTAGGCAAAAATACTCTATCAAAGTTCTACACATCGATGTTGAATGAAAACGTTCCACTCCGTTCTACTAAAAATTGCCTCATTGTGCCTTGCGTTTATACTTCGTTTCTCCCAATGGGTGTTTTCAAAGAGCTTACGAGAAGGTGAATGGTCCTTGGCTGAAGCTAGAACTTGACGGAACATTCGCGAAGAACGGTGCTCCCTGATTTTGCGAGTTGGAGCTGCCTACCTGCATGGCATAACCATTACTTTGAAAGGATTAATAATGGGTAAATGCTGGCACGTACCGCGACCACGTAGATTGGACCATTAGCTCGGACATAGCTTCCTGTCCTAGTCCCAACTATCAGATAGGAGTCATGACCGAATGGACCGCCATCTACCTGGACCTCGTCTAGATAGACCACAGTGTTTTCCTTCTGAAAGTGAGAATATTTCAACAAATTATAAATTTTCAGAGCAGATACACTTTGTTCTCACTCAGGTTGGTAGAGATTACATACTGTGAGAACGGTCAATGCAGTGACTTGGCGAAGCAACCTGGTCGTCAATGCGGTCTTATGCTCTTTCCAGCTTAATCATAAATGAAGCTGATGGTGAAGCTGGTATCTTTAAGTATCTTGATCGCTGTGCGCCTCTTCCTGATACTGACTGCCTGTTAAACATATTTCCGTTGAGCTCAGAGTAGCGGTTAAGTTCAGAGCTAGGGCGATGATGTGAGTTCCTTGAAAGGGCACACATTTGACCGTAGTTGACCATGAGAGGAGCATTAAAATCAGCTTATGGAGCTATTCCCGGTGATTCAAGCTAGTGTTTTGTGTTTTGGTCGAACATATCTCGTGCCTATAGCGCTAGTTGCATGGCAGGGTCGGATTGTGCGATGTGGTCCTCACCCCGTCCAGCAGCAGGATTGATATTCCTCGATCGATCAAGTCTCGCGAAAGTTGATGAATCTATCCAACAGAGGAACCCTTACCTCAAAAAGGACCATGAATTCTCCTATATCTTCTGGTTGAAATTTATAGTAGGCGGCATCTTTTGCCCAGTTTGATGACGGTGCAAGCATCAACACCTGAACAAAAGCACTTCTAGTTCCATGTGCAAGCAAAAAAGATTTGGAGGGCCCTCCTGAAAAAGGTGCCTTCACGTGCACCTTTTTTAGGTGGACCTCCCCCCCTAATCTCTAGATGTTAACTAAAAAATCTCGTCCAGTTCACCAATCACCTGACCTCATAACTACAGTGGCTAGGATTGTAGTACCCGTACCCACAAACTGATCCAGAGATCACTGCTACTGGTTTGTCCGAACTTACGGCCACTGTCGTCTGAAAAGAAACTCATTACATTTCCAAATAGAAAAGACCCGGCCGTCTGACTAACCTGGGTGTAGTAGGTGGCGATTGTGAGTTGTTCTCCGCGATTCAGTACAGTGGGTGCCGTGTATAAGTAATTCATTTGAACCTACAAATTACAACTTTCATCAGTAATTAAATAAACTGAAAAGTTTTGACGGCATTCGTTTCAGTGGTATTTGAGCCCGTTGGACTCGCATGTGAAACTTTACGACAACAAGGGCGTCGATTCAACCAAAGTTCTTCTTTAGACGTTTTGGTTGCCTTGATGCTATCACCTTCACTATACTTTACTTTGAAAACTAAGAAGACTACTGTCATGATGCTCTTCCGAAGGACTGGATCAATTATGTGATTCCAGCCTAATGCATATATGTAATTCTTGCAATATAACACTCTTTGAGGGCAGAGGTGCCCGGATCGATATCCGCCTGGGCCAACCCAGCCCTCCATCTCTCCGGGGTCGGTTAGTTGGTACCAAACTCGTCTGGGAGGATAAAAGCATTGAATTGCACATCTGGCCACCGCAAGTCATTGTATAGGCCACATACTTACTGCGGGAGCGCATCCCTCAGACGGGATTGATTAACGCCAAGAACTTTATCCTAACTTTAACACTCCTTACCTCCTTATTCAACTATCTCTGTACCTGACTGGAAGTCTTGGATTTATCCGGAAAGTTTGGGAAGAGGACCTAGGCCAGCCAGGAACGCCAGAGTTTTACTGCCTGTCTCACGTACCACGAACTCCGACGGTGTATGATTCACGTAGTATACTGAGGACAATCAGTTCAAAAAGTTGCATCCTGGTTTCAAAGCAGCCAGCAGATCAGAAAAATGGGCAAGATAGAAAGCAGGCCTGCTGATGATATGAAGCTCTCAAAAGGGCTTTCATAAGTAAATTGATCACTTCTTTTTCTGTCGCAGATTGGTACAGAAATAGAAAAAATAGGAAGATGACAGAGATGACCAGTGATTGAGGTGAATCGACTGTGCCAGGGATGTGCGGAGATCAACCAGGTGCCACTTGGGAATCAAAACGCTCTATGGACGGCGTGCACAGTCAGGTGGGTGAGGTTTGTAAAGAACTTCGGAGCTGCAACCTGGCCTCGGTCTTAATGACGGATCTCGGAGGAAGAATGAGTTCCCAGGAAAGAAGATATTCGCAAAATGTTCGAGTGCATAAAGTGCACAGTACAACTATGAAGGCTGGCTATAAAACTGTTTTGAGGGTGGTAGGGATTGCGAATGGTAGACGAAAAGCTGGGTCTAGGATGAGCTCGAACTCGTATTCTCGCTCTCTGTGCTCTTTACCCCTTAGGAAATTTTACAGCATGTGTAGTGGAGAAAGTGCCTATTGTGCTTATAGCACAAAGCAAGTCCGAGACCGGGAGTTTTACTGAGAATTCGAAATCCTCGTGAAAGCTTCTGCATGGCTTGCCCAGAAGTACGAAATGCTCAGGAACGATGTGTACAGTTTGGTTTTGAGGCTAAGATGGTATTGATGGTTGAGTTTTCGATTTTCACAAGGAACACACGAAGTGGATGTCCCACTAAGGATATGCAAAGCTAGAAGTGGGACTCAAGCAATCAGCCATAACCTACGACAATTAAACCGGTACATTATTAAGAAATTTTTAAGGAGGTCATCAGTGTTCTTCAACTTAATTATTCACGAAGAAGTTTCGTATGAAGCAAGTACGGTAGCTATGATATAATTTAGTCTTCCCACAGATCGAGGTATGCCTTTTTTTCTGAAAAGATAATGGATTGAAGTGGAACTGAAGATTACCGTACCGTTGTTTGATCTTGCGTGGCAATGATAGTGATGATATTTGTCGACTGATAGCTCTGGAAAACGTGAGAGGACTCGTCCCCGACCACGTGGTACTCCAACCCGAGTTGGCAGATCTAAAGAAGAAGACTGAGCATGACTTTGGCAGATGGCAGAGCATCCAACCTTACCGGTAGAACGACGAACTTGTCCTCGCCTCCGCCAGCGGTGAGGCTGTTGCTTGCGATCAGTGAAATGGTGACGTTGGAGTCAACGAACAACACTTTGGTCTCTATCACTGCATACTGGAGGTACTGGTCCATGTAATCGGTCTGAATGTCAGCTGGAGTAATGGCCACCTGAAATGGCAACCATTTTCCCTCGTAGGATTGTCACCCTTTACAATGGGATCTATTTTGAGACTGCAAATGGCTATGTAATAGTTCACCCGATCATTTGATGCTCCTGATTGGTTTTCTTCGAAAAATGGTAATACCCTTCGCTCCCCAATCGGTATGGAAATTTGATTGTCAAACATGAGAACAACAAATGCTTACCTTTCAGGGGACGTGTGTTTCTCTTCCTTATTAAAACTACAGGAAATCAATGCGAAGTTGATTGCCATGAACAGCATTACAGAATTTTCAAAGTTGATTTTCATAATCGCAGCCATAACCCTGGCATCTGGTGAAGGTACTACTAGGTTGCCGTGTGATTTTTGTCCATATACCTGTGTTCTTGTACAGCCGTGACGGGCTGTGGCTCCGGGCCAATTATCACTTCAAAGGTGGTCCTCGGACCCATGACGCCGCACAGGCGAAAGAGGTCAAAACTTTCAAGAATGGTGATAAGACAACTTACCCACCTTAGTACGTGCTGAGGATTGGTCAGCCTATTACCGAGTCTCAATCATATCGACCATACCTTTCAAGAGAAAAATTGCGATTTTCCTCATCCTGACTTGGAGACACAGGGGAACGCTTTTTGTCGGAAATAAAGAAAAATCAACGTTGACTGCCTCCAATCAGTGATTCAAGCACTTTAGAGATGACTGGAGGGCATTATCAAAAGAGAAGAGATCGTCTTCGAAAATGAGGATACTAAACTTAGCATGAGCTAACGCAAATCGCGTGAAAACATTATTTCCACTCTGTTTCCACTTTGTTCGAACTATTGAATCGTTATGACCATCAAGATTCTAGGATTGTGTTAACTTACACTTTCATCACACTCTTTCATAGGGGAAATTACACAGTTCTGAACAAGATAAGTTCGGATAGAACCAAAACGGTCAGAAATTATGAACCAACGTAACAGTATTATGGCCCATTACACTTGACCGCACTAGTTTGGTCGTAACCTTGACAAAGCCTGTGCCTCTCCTTCATTTGCGAATGACAGTGCGAAAAATGTGAAAAGATATCTAATGAAGCCGTAAGGCCCAATCTTGTAGGGACCAGCGAGCACAGAGGAGCGTACGCGAAGCCTGTTGCTCAACCAAACAGCAGTTTTTCTAAACAGTCTACATTATTGAAAGGCATGAGAAAAATGGCACCCCAGCATTCGATGTGGATATTATCTAAACACAGCTAGTACGGCCCTCGAGCATGGAGAAAAACCTTGAGAGGTGGGATGCACACTCTTCGATTGGGTTTAGGTTAGTGACTGGTTTCCCGTTTTAATAGTTCCACAACGGATGATCCTCTTCTTTACAGACAGGAATGATAAGATTTCATTTAGCATATTGTTGTTTAGTGAAAGCAAATGTTGTAGTTCAAGGGCTGGTAAAAATGTCAATCCTGAAAGTTAAACTCTGATGAAATGTTTCTGAATGTCTCTGATAATCGTCCTGGATCATATCGAACGAAACTCAGAAATAGCTGCATTCTGCTATAACTGCCACTTCTAATTAATTAGGTCATGGCTTCACGTCTTACAGCAACCGTAGTCTAGGGCACTATTGTCATCGGACAGCATAAGCAAACCAAAGAATGATGATGTTACAGTACTTACCGTCTTTACTTCTCCGCCTCCAACGAGAGTGTTTATTGTGGTGAAGTTCGAATACGGGGAAGTGATCTAAAATGTAGCTCGAATCTTGAGTACCTTAGGATGCGGGTTACTCACCGTGACGGATGCGATCTGATCGGTTGGGTTTGTGATGGATAGGGCGAGATTCTCAGTGTAGGAGGTGTCCTTCGCATTCAAATGACTGTTCAAGTACGAGTAAACAAAGGATGTACCTAGAACTTTTGATTACGGTGTCAAGTCATTCCAGCAACCATCACTCAGAAAAACATAGCACCTTGAGCTATGGTGGTTGCAGCTGCCGACAACGGAACTGCGTTCATTTTTGCCAATTGTAGATGCCGTGGCAACTCGCTTATTCGACCTCAACATACAGGAGCAACTTACAATGAACTCTAGGAGAGCAGCACGGAACTCACCGTGTCGAATACCAATAGACGGCTCTGCAGCAACATCAATGGCCAACAGGAAAGGAAGTAGAAGACGTAAGGCCATTGTCTGAGAGAGTAGTGCTTCTCTTGGTCGTCGTTTTCAAAAAAACGCAGACTTGCTACTTACCCTATAGTGGGACCCTGTACACATTCGTAGGCCAATGGTTGTTGCAAGAACAAGACGATTTCTTATCAAAAGCTTAGACTAAGCGCCATGCCGAGCAAACTCTGCGCCTCTTATCTAAAGCCAGCTTACCGCCTAAGAAAATGAAGTTGCCAGTCTGGTGAAATCAAATGCGAAGAAGGGAGTTTATTCATCTAGCCAAATAGTCCACTCCGTGCAGAACGGAATAGTTAAGATGAACTGGTTGCAGGAACACGCTTAACGCTTAACTCTTCATAGAACTTGCATTATTACGTTGAAAACATTTAGACGAAGACGAAAATGTTACTCGCAAAAGACGTTAGCCTCCACCAATTCTGTAAAAAAATACAATTTGGGTAACCATGATGCCAACTATACAGAACCGGGCACAAAGCTCTTGGAGGTGAAATTTAAAACTCTATCTTGCGAGTGATCGAGAGCAGGATCGGTATTTAAACACCAACTGATCTACTCGTGAACAAGTTCAAAATAGACCGTTGACGATTTTTAGGCCTATCCTCAGACACTCGTACTCGACGGAATAGTTTGTGTGACAGTTTTGCTCTAAGTCCCCTCCTGTTTTAGGTAGAATGTTCTTAAATGGCGTAAGGGTCATTTCCAAAGCAGTACTTGTATTCAACTGCTGAATTTTTGAAACGGTCATGTCACACAAACGTAATTAAGGCGAGAGAATCTTGCTATACGAGAGGCACGGCGTATCTACAGTATCGGCTCGCTAAGGCTCCACAGGCTTTCGAGAGAATCAACTTCGAATGTTTGCACATGGGCCAGAATAAGCTGCTTCTCCCGCTGCCCCTCCCACTTCTACACCACTTTTTCTGCTGGTCTGGAAGTATACGTGATCCTATCGAAGAAGGCGTCTTCCTGGGTGGTGATGATTTTCATGCGATATGTCGACGGAATTTTCGAGCCTTCAAAGAATGGGGGTGTTTTTCCCATTACAATTTCTATGGCCAAGTTGTAACAACTGGTAGAAAATGCATAATTGTTCCATAGTTGAGGTAACGGTGGTGCTCCAGAAGGCTGAGGTAACGGTGGTGCTTCAGAAGGCTCTGCTACGCTGTTCTATAGCGACGCATTTGGTGCATGCCGTAAAATTGGAATTAGGAGCGTTGCGAAACGGCACGGCGTATCTACAGTATCGGCTCTCTAAGGTAAGATGGCGAATCAACAATTCTGGTCGTATTAACTCTGTAATAAACGGAGTTTTGATCCACCATGTAATTGCTACGCTATTCTCTAGTTATAACTTTGCCCAATTCCGAGAGCTTGTCTTTCTAATTACATGAGTGTTCTTGAGTGGAGATACAATTATACCATTCGAAAAGTTTACGTTGAAGATGAAATGTCAAACACTCTCTGACTCAAAAAGGGCCCATCAAAAAATACTAGGTTGAGTCATAAGTCCTCGGACAATATGATAGTGATGACTTCTAGCGATCATAACTCGGGAAAGAGGTGACGAATATTAACGCGCGAGGCACTGTTAGATAGAGTATGGAAAGCTCTTCCAAATGCATACTGGAAAGCGCACCCAACTGTTTCCTTTCCCGCAACTGTGCCTCATGATTTCAAGTCGTCGCAACTCCACATCCGCAAAACCATCATGTTTATTTTTTTATCGGGTCATGAACCCGCGGCAATCGGTAGAGGTATGAAGGACTTTCACATGCAGGACGTGTACAATTTACAAGTGACACTAGAAGTTCGCATCGGGCGACTATTCCATCGGAAATGAAGACCGTCCGGGACGCTCAATGGAGTTGGATGTGGACGTGCTGCGAAGCCAGGTGGAAGGTGATCCGCATCAAACTACTCGTGAACTGGCAGTCACCCTTGGGGATTCAGTCCACAATTATTCGTGGATTGAATTCAATCGGCAAGGTGCGAAAGCTCGGCCGTTGGGTGCCTCATGCTACGAAGCAGTATGAAATAGACCGCCGCGACGACGTTGCACTTTCTCTCCTCACGCTCAAGGGCACCNAAGTGGATGTCCCACTAAGGATATGCAAAGCTAGAAGTTGAAGTTTTTCAGAGTTATGGACTATCGATCGAACTCATCAACGGCTGGGACTCAAGCAATCAGCCATAACCTACGACAATTAANATGAAGACCGTCCGGGACGCTCAATGGAGTTGGATGTGGACGTGCTGCGAAGCCAGGTGGAAGGTGATCCGCATCAAACTACTCGTGAACTGGCAGTCACCCTTGGGGATTCAGTCCACAATTATTCGTGGATTGAATTCAATCGGCAAGGTGCGAAAGCTCGGCCGTTGGGTGCCTCATGCTACGAAGCAGTATGAAATAGACCGCCGCGACGACGTTGCACTTTCTCTCCTCACGCTCAAGGGCACCTCAGTGGCTCGAGTACCTAGTCACCAGGGTTGCAAAGTCGAACCTCTACTCTAACGTTCACCGGCGTGCTCAATGGATTGACAAAGGTGCGGATGCAGAAGACTCCCCCAACCCAACGTACATGCCAAGGAGGTTATGCTCTGATTCTGGTGGAGCGTTCACGGTGTCGAATAATGGGAGCTGCTAGACGAAGGATGCACAGTGACCGCACACGTCTACATTACACAACTGAGGAATTTGAAGGCGCATCCCGAAGCTACACGTCCACGGCAGCACAAAGTTTACTTCCAGCACGACAACGCTCGCCCTCGCATTGCAAGAACGACCAAAACTGAATTGACGAATTTCTGCAGAACAAGTTTACCACACCAACCATGTTCCTCAGATCGGACACCCTCGCACTGCCACCTTTTTCCCCATCTTCAACGTCATCTGGATGGTCAGGACTTTCAAAACCGCGACGACATCAAAATGGCACTGGTGCAGTTCTGCAAAGGCCAGCTCCCAGCGTTCTAAAGCGAGGGCATTTACGATCTGCCCAAGCTTTGGCAGAAGACCATCGACGCGAATGGGGCATATTTTAAATGATTCGCTATTGTCGTTTAAAAATTGTAAGATAAGTATTATCATTGCCAATTTGTCCGAGGACTTATGACTCAACCTATCTTTATATGCTGATTGGGCAACTGTTGGCATTCCACTATCAAGAAAACAGCGCAATTTTTCGAGGCTCGAATTTTCATTCTACTACAAGGAGATGTCTATAATGCTTGGCTACTGGTAAAGACGGGAGTTCATAACGGCAAGCAACTTTCTGTGATTGGAATCCTTTCAATTTCAATTTTAATTTTGAGTAGATATTTCTGTACGCTCATGTTTGCTCTCTTGCTGTTTTTCCAGGCAAATTCATTCTCTTTATGGAGGCTTCTGTCTTCTAAGTTAGGCACATCTTTGAGTGTATGAAACAAATAAATAATTGAAGAAACGCAAAACTGTGCCTTCTACGTTCTCTACCAGTCATGCGCGATCAGTCACATTCTCCAGGTCGGTAAGCTAAACAGAGCCCGGCTCCAACTACTTGATTTTATCTCTTGATGTTATTACAATGACTGCCTAAGATCAGAAGCCATATTCCGCAGCCAAATCCTTCATTTTTACATATAAGTTTATGCGGGTGAAACAGCTCCACTGAATGAAGTATGGTTGCTAGGATGACTGCTGACGCGGTCTTCAGCCGGTGAAGGCCTCCTTCTAAACAACATTATCGATTTTCATTCGAAGAGAAGAATACTTTACAGTCTTTATGAAGTATCCATCCCACTCTCCTAACGTTAATCCTGACTGGAATTGATTTCGAGGGAAAGCGATCCCATGAATGCGAAATATTTCAAAGAATGAAGTTCTTGAAGTACGGCGTACTGGGGTTCAGCAATATGTATACTGTAATAGGATAGCGAAAAAACCTAGAAATATTGCAACAGTGCAAGATATGAGCGCCCGCAGGTTCAATCCCCATTCAGAGAAGTAGTTGCGTTTGAATGAAAAGGAAAACCATACAATAACTGTACCTACAGCACCGCACAGGGGCAACGGATGGACCAGTCATTGCTTCTATCCCTCTACACCAGCCTGAATCTAATTAACCGATTTTAGAAGAAAAGGGCTCGAATGATTCACAGGGCTTCGATCTGGAACCCAAAACTACATGAGAAACTTGGAAACTATTGTTCAGTAGAATTTCATTTGACTTTAGGATGAAAATCAATAAATATTTATTGCTTCCTGAATGATAAATTACTATGAATATTAAATTAGTACTAGGAGGATCTACTTGACATCTGAACATGAGATTGATCACTGAGAATCGACGAGATTCCCTGTTCACCGGGAATCCGGTTGAGATTAATTTTGGTGACCACTGTTGTTGGTCACCACTGTTGTTGGTATGGGGACGATCCTGCAGGGGGTGGTGTATCCCATGCCGCAACGAATGGATTCGTTCCTGTTGAGAATCCCACATCGGTTGGGGGCGGCGCTTGCCCTGAATGCATATTATTGTCATTACTAATGGGTGTGTGGGATGCAATGAAAGAAAGAGTATCAAAAATTCGGACAAATGATGCTCTATTATACATAAATCCATGATTTGATGCACAATGGTGGCTTCAAGGGACTACCAAGTCTACAAAATAGAAGATACTTTTTTCATGCTTTTCTTTTCGCCGAATGTGAGTCTCCACACAACGTTTGCTATTATTGGGAGAAAAAAGCCGACTATCAAAGGCACAGTTTACGATAATTTTGACTACTCTTTTTAGGTTGAAAAGCGGATGTGTTGATGTAGAGGAACACATCGATGGCGAAGAAAGCGAGAAAATCCGCCTACTTCAAGCTTTTTCAAATTGGTGAGAGTGGAGGCTGTACGAGAGCGCGACAGGAATGGCATGTAAGGGGATTTTGGACGAGATTTAAATTGCTCTCATCGTGCAAGGAGCTGACTACATCAAACCATAACTGCCAAGAACTGCCTTTCACTGTCACTATGGGTCATGACAGTTGTTTGAACTTCCCACATTGGTTTCCTTATGAATGGTGCAACCTTTACAAAGCTGTTGAAACTCGTCCACTAGAGGTGTGGCATTCACACGATACAACCTCTAGTTCCTCATTGCACTCTATCCGGGACGTTTTTCGCCGTTATAACGACAGGCATGGTACAAGGGAGTGCCTCGAATTCATACTATAGGTAAATCCCTGAAACCATTTATATCGTGAACTGTGCCTTTCAGTAGTCACTGTTTTCACTACTTTATAACACACAGACTCAACAGACAACCAGCGATTAGGGCAACAAGGAGGAAGAGCGTCAGTGACGAGTAGGAGTCATATCCAAATAGGGTCTATTTTGAAGCTCCGCGTTCATGCTATAGCTGAATAGGGTCAGAGCTTAAGCAAGCATTTCGTGGTGGTCACGAAAAATTACTTCTTTGAAGATAGATCTACTGCTAAATACGAAAAGAGCCGAAGTCGGTAAGTGTTTCAAAAACCTGACAATGGCTACAATTCCACATGTTTTGTTGAAGAGGTTACAGGTATTGCATTCCTTCTCAAGTGACCGATACAAGTTATGGTCTACCCACATGTGTACGCACACGAATCAGCTTATGGGGTGTACTTACAACCTGTACTCATTTTTTTTAAACATATTTTCGAATGACTTCACACAGCTAGTATTGAGGTTTAACAGTGGAAAGCTGTACCCAGAGGCAAGCAGATATCACGTACAAAGAGTGCTGCAAGCTATCAACTACTCAAAGCGACAACGACTTACCTTTCTGCAATTGTTCTACTGCTGGTAACGGCGCTAAACTGATTGGCACTTCACTTTTCGTGGTTCCATATCCAGCTGTAAAAGGTAGTTTACAAAAAAAAAAACGTTACAGAGCAAGATGAAGAAGCGCTACGGAAATGGGAAGCTGTTTTTGGCATCTCTCTTGGGATCTATCCACGATTCAGGCAAGTTCCGACGAACTACTTACCGTTGCTGCTTCGATGATTGAGCGCTGTCACGTTCCAAGCCTCTTCCTCTGGCTTCGGCTCCGCCCAATCCTGAACAAGCCATTTTTGTGTAGATCAAGGAAGGTGAAGAGTGGAACTGTCGGTTAAAATCTAGCAATACGCAATTCGCGCACTCCCTCTACAGAATTTGTTCGTTTGTTAATAGAAGCTAAAGAACTACTCGTTCACGAGTCCGATTCGAAGTTGGATTCAATAAGGTTTTCTTCGTAAAAATCACGACTGCGATAATAAGGGGCTTCTTTTTCCATTTTCCCTTTTGAGAGATCGACAGTCATTTTCGTGCGTTGTGATGGTTAGAGGGAGATAGGCTTCACGAGTCAATCCCGCTACTCCCTAGCTCATGATTCTTCGGAGCACACGGATTGGTTGATTACGGCTTCATTTTGACTGGGCAAGGAAATCTACTGCATATATGAAACACTACTGATGATCATAAGGAATAGAGAAGCATGAAAAAGAAGCATTAGCAGTTGCCAAACCATACTTGCAGTTCTCCAGAAGCGTAGATAGCATAGAAAGTAATGCCGGTGAAATGAATCAGACTTGCTAGGAGAAACACCTGAAAACTTATAATCAAGAACATCAAAGAGAACGCAAAACATAATTTGCTAGATGTGTTATATGAGTGGAGGTGGTGTAGTGACAGTAAAGAAGCCGGTAACGGCGTTTCTCGGTGTGGGTGGTTGTTGAAAAGAATCACTACTTTAGAGAGCATGATTCAAATTGACGTACCTTCACCCAACCATGAGGCCCGCTTTCGGTGAACTTTTCAGTTACAATCGGACAAGTGAGGCCGGCTAACGTTCCAATTCCATTTGAGAATCCCATGAGGATGGCCGCGTAGCGGGGTGCAATATCCAAATGATTCACATTGAATCCTAGGATCAAATCATCTATTTGTACGAAATGGAGGTTTCGAGTGGTAGAGAGGCTTGAGGACTCAGGAAAGAGCAACATACCTGAAATGGCGAATCCCGAACAGCCGACGGCCAGCACCAGAGCTAGAATAGCAGTCGATTCCTTATTGGTATATGCAACGACAAGCATGAACGCTGCTTCACCACCGAATCCTGAATGGGCGGTATATTATCGCATATGATTTCAGGGAGGACAATGTTTTGAAAGCAGTCTTCTGTAGCCATAATGTTCAATATTGAAGATAAAGAGCGGGGGTCAAAAGTGCCTAGTGGTGTACCATCACGAACATTGCCACTGTATACCGACCGAATCTTGGAATGATTCCGGTCCAGGCACACCATGCGCCCAACGCCCACTATGATCCCTAACAGACGTCACATGCGGTCCTATCTCACGAAAGGCATTGATTGTAGCCAGAATTTTTACTTCATGAAACCATCTCTACGACCGCACATGCGCGGCTGAGAACAATGCGGTCTGACCTGGTGGCAGCGATGGAGGTCGCGCCGTTGCGGATTTGGTCTATATGATACCTTGGAGAAGTTGTGGAGAGGAATATATAGAGGAGGCGGCGGGACCTTTTCATGTGCGTGTTAGGAAGCATTAGGAGAGAAAGGCTAGGTCGAGTCTCCTAATGCTCCAGGTTGTCACAAGTTGAAACTGATAGCCTGGTATAGTGAAGACGATTTTGAGGTCAGCGTCGTGGTCATATCACAGGAAACCTAGACAGCCGAGTACAAAACGTTGAAGCCATTTTGGTTCTGGGTACAGTATGCAAAATTGAATTGTAAGGCGGGTGGAGTGTGTGCCAATAACTCGGGATCTAATTCCCCCGCATAAGGTTAGCCTTAAAGCTGGGACCCTGAATTTTGTTCACCCTGATATCCACTGTACTATCAACCTCGTGAGCTTATTCCGCTAATCTGAAAGGTACAGCCTTTCATCCACTTATTGTTGATTAAATGATGACTGAACTGGTCTCGAAGGCCGCGTCTGGTAGTGGAAGATTTGGTCGGATTAGTCGTAGATTGGTTTCCACCTTTTTCAGGCTATGAAGAAGGCGATATGGTCGAGACGTTAGCCGTCATATTAAACTTCGTGTACTGTTAAGTAAACAAACGTTATGCACAGCGACTATGTCGAGGTTCATCATGACGGCTTTTTCCTTCATTCTTTTGTGAAAGAAAAAATAAATGTGGAGCAACAGCAATGAGTGCATATGGATCTTACAACTAGACTTTTCAAGCCTCGTGAGCACAGTCACTTGGTGATTTTCACTGACTTAGACAATTTCGATTCAAAACCCGTTCAAAAACGTATATATTTGGGTTTCTTTTCCAAAGGAAAACCACTGAAGGGAATCTANCCTTCATTCTTTTGTGAAAGAAAAAATAAATGTGGAGCAACAGCAATGAGTACATATGGATCTTACAAATGGACTTTTCAAGGCTCGTGAGCTCAGTCGCTTGGCGATTTTCATTGATTTAGACAATTTCGATTAAAAACCTGATCAAAAACGTATATATTTGGGTTTCTTTTCCAAAGGAAAACCACTGAAGGGTATCTAAGTGCAAAGGATATGCCGTAAATGACTATCCTTGCCTGGCTCACCTCCGCAATTGAAAATTTTACGCACTGCAGTGGTGGAAAGAATCTTATTTGAACGCAGGTAATCGGCGAGTTGTCCTCCAAACAAAACGACAATGCCCATCACAGCATGTGGCAAAGCGGCAAGCATTCCGGACTGAAAAAGACAGACGGAAATTGGTACTTCTCGAAAAGTGTTTTTGATGATGTTCTTATTCTTGTGATGAGAAGTACTGAATATTATCAGGGTAATGTTACGAAAATTCAGAGATTTTTTGAAACATGATGCTGAAAAGTTGCTGTAGCGAGAGAAGGAGAGGCAGCTTGCCGAGTCAGAACTAAGTCCGTATTCAGGATTTCTATCTTGGCAGTTTACTTCTAAGTTTTGAAATCGTTTCACGCTTCCCATGTCTTAGATACCCATGTCTTAGATAATTATTTCAACTGCTCTCAGGGACACGACTTTTCAAAATTAAAACGTACGTCACTGATGTTCATGTCGAGTGCCTCTTTCATGTAAGTCAGCTGATTTTGTAGCAGAAGATAAAACGTCCAGCTTCTAGCAAAATTTGCCACTATAATTGCCCATACCGGTTTTGAAGTCACAATCGCTTTCCATGGTATCGAGTGAAACTGGAAACAAGGACTTTTTTCAGAAAAACACCTGAAAGCTTTCCACATCAGGCTGGCGGGCAGGAACTATTTTTATGAACGTTAACGACTTTTTTGAGTCGAAGATCGTTTTCTTGAAACCATTACTCGAGAGAAGGGTACTACAGTAGTAATGAAAAGGACGCACGGCTGAGAATGTTCTCGCCACGGACTCCGTTTGGGAAGTGTCCCAGACAAGTAAGAAGAAATGGACTTACTGTAGGGTGAGTAGCAGACACGTGCCCAATAGCGTCTTCGATGAACTTTTTCTCTTCTTGCGTTATTGTCGGATGGTAAGCTGGCTTTTCAAAAGTCAGAGAAAACCAGAATACAGACCAGATAACGCCAGCGAAACCTTGAAAAGCTCTGTGTAATTTCTCAGGATAGCAATATGAGTAAAGAAATGACGAACCATAGAGGTAGAATGGAGCACTCCATCCTACGTATGAAACCAGAAATGCCGACACAGGAAGTCCAAGTACTGCTCCAGCATAGGAACCAGTGAAGGCGGTTGTGGCCAGTTTGGACCGTTCCAGTGGCGGAGCCCAGTATCGCCAGACGCCGTGCATCGACGGGTATGCGACACCCTAAAGGAGCATTTCTACGAGATGGTATTTGAGGTTCAAATGCAGTCCGTTTCAGGATAGCGAGAGTATTTTGGGACGCTCACCTCGAACGCCCTTACCTAGTTCACCAGATGATTATCTCGATGAAAATACAACGATTTCTTCAAGTTGAGTTTGAGATGAACTTAACGGGAAGGCAGGTAATGCAGGTAATATCAAATGCATTTTGGGAATTACCCCAAGAACTTAAAAGTAGTACTCTGTTTCCTGATCCTACGTGCCGGTTGATCCTACCACCAATTTCTCGCTTACATGACCGTCACCTTGACAGTTCGTGGAAAGAAGGTCGCAAAAGGACAGTTGAGTTGAAATACAAACTCATCTTGCAACTATTTGGGTTGACCAACCGGGATTATGATTGCATTGGAAATGTACCTTTCACCCCCCACCCCCTCTCCCCTCCTATATTGGCTTGGTGATGTCAGCGGTTCTTGCAAAATACAAAGAAATAGTTCCGTACAGTAACGTTCGTAATAACCTCAGGTTACCGGAGATCGACACTTCGTCTCAAGATCTTAGGGATGGTTCACATCCTAGAATCGAGTCAAAATAAGGTACCTGCACAAGCCCTTGTAGAATCTGAATTATTGCCACCAGAGTGTCATTCTTTGATTTGAAACCAGTTGGCAGAAGAAGGTTGAGAAATGAAGCGACTCCTATAGCGATTCCAAAAAGTCTGAAATAAGGTTTAAGGTACATAATTAATAGCCCAGCAAAAATAGTTTCATAGTGTATCAACGTACTTATTTGGAGGGAATTTGGCAGCAAGAAATCCGGCAGGGATTTGGGTGACGAGATAACCGTAGAAAAACGAACTTTCCATGACGCTCAGTTCGGCTCGAGTCCAATTGAAATCATGTACCTAAGACTTCAATATTATTAGGTTGGAAGGAAAGTCCTGCAACACAATGAAGGTCTTTTTCAAATCATTTATGGAATTTTCCAGGTCAATCAATTTTCGGAAATATATTTACCAAAGAGGTCAACAACCTTCTATTATACTTTGAGTAAATCACTGATGCCTTCTATCCACGAGTGAGGAAACTGTGACTCAAAGAAGTAATTGAGTGTCGTTTTCAGATCACATTAAGTTACGATTTTTTTTCCAACAACGGGACGCTCAAGAAGGCGGAGCGTATGGTAGGTAAAAGGGGCAACACTTGGGGAGTACGACTGATGAACAACCTGGAACCAATTGGAATCGTAGAGCTTTTGACGCGTGTTGAAAGCGAAATTTCGACTTGCGTTGTCCCTCTGTAGGGACCTGATTTACGGTTTTGATCGTCCTTCTCTAACCCTGTTGGCCAAACTTCGGGGTTCGTAGGGATAA